ATAATTCTAATTGTTTATATGGCTAGAATAATTTTTATATACTTTTTTGTAATTTTATTTTTTTGTAATTTTTTATTATTAATTAAAAATAATAAAACTTTTAGTACTATTAAATAAATTAATATTATAATTGAATTTAAATTATGGATTTATTAGTATTTATATTATTGCATAAAATAAATATTGTACAAGTGTATAATATCTATCTGATATTTTACTATAATATACTGGGTACCTGACAATTGACTACCCGATATGTATAAGATATTATATGATGTTTATAATATATGTCACCGATTTTCTATATTTCTACTACATATATCAGATACCTGATATGTGTAGTATTGTTAAATATCATACACATATATCACATTTATTGTACACATATCAGGTATCCAATATGTACCCAAGTTTACCACAATTTTGACCAGTGATTCTATATCTATCTGTCTGATATCTGTATGATATCTGTATAATTGTCCAGAGCGAAGCGAAGGACTATATATGTTTATGAACCTTAATGACATATTGGATCACGTGGCGATGTCCGCACGCGTCATTTCTGATTGGTCTGTACAGATTGTGTCATTGAAATTTTATGCTACTTCAAAAATAAACAAGTGTAATAATCATAATAAGTTTATGATAAACATGATTACCTGATAATCTCTTTTTTTGTTTGGTTTCGTCTAGAGAGTATATTTTTTTTTAATTGACTTCAAAGGAATGTTTTTGATTTATTTCTTATTCTTTTTCTAGGGTTTCTAGATTTCTTGTACATACTGGACTTTAAAGGTAAATTAAGAAGTGAAGGGTTTTTTATTTGTTTAACTTTAAAGAAACGTTTCTAACGTTTCATTTTTTTATTTTTTTTAGGGACACCAGATTTTTTGTACAAATTGAATTTTTAAAGATATTTGGATTTTTGTACAAAATCTTTCGCTCCGGACTTACAACGGTTTCCGTTTCTTAGTATATATATGATATATATCATAATATATTGGGTACCCAATAAGTCTATAATATGTGACCAATATTTAACTACCCGATATATGTAAGATGTATATATGATGTTTGCAATATATGTTACCAATTTTCTACATTTTTACTACACTTATCGGGTACCCGATATGTGTAGTATTGTTAAATATCATACATATATATCACATATATTGTACACATATCAGGTACCCAATATGTACCCGATAGCATTAATTTTGACCAGTGTCTCGCAGTACTTCATTTAACAATATCATTTCTACTGGTGATCCTGCATCACATAATAAAAATTCAGAATATTATACGTATAAAAGAACTGTATGACCAACATTTTAAAATGTGTAGATGAACCACTTCTTACAAATGCTTCAGCTTTAAATGAGGTCAAGACACTTGATTATATCACACATGATCTCATACTTCCTCACTATAATCAAACTAATTTCACCAATGAAATAAATTTTAATGCACTGGAAGCTTCTACATCAGGAAATTTGTTTAGGCGTAATTTAGTGTAATATTTCGGAGGTGGTGTAAAATTTTGAAATATTACACTAAAAACGTAATATTACAAAAGTTTACGCTCTTAAATTTGAATAATTATAGTAATTTAAGAATATCTCGCTA